GAAGAGGCCCGGGACTGTTCCCCCCGCAGCTCCAGGCACTGGGAATGTTGGGGCTGGCCCTGCCTGTGGAGCACAGGGCTGGGCTGTGTTCTCCAACCCGTCCCGCAGCCCCTCAGCTCTGACCGCGCTCACTCTTTGTCAGATCCAGGACGGGAACAGACACAAGAACAGGACCGCGCCCGTGGACGCTTCCGCAGGGCAGCACAGGTACCTGCAGCCACGGCCTCCTGGGCTGGGCCTGCTGTCCCTGCTCAGCCTGGCACTGCTGTCAGAGCTCTCCAGGACACATCCCTCTCTTCCCTGCTCTCCGTTCTTCTGCAGGCCTTTCTGAAATTCTTGGGCATTCGGCGTAAAAGGACCACAACCAGACCGACTGAGGTCATGGCACAGCCTGACCCCAGCCCGACTGAGCTCGAGGCGGACCCTGATGTCACCACCGCACTGACTGATGGCACAGGAAACTGTGATACCCTGACAGTTGTTCACACGACCAAGTCTGACCCTGCTTTGACTGATGCTACAGCAGACCCTGACAGCCCATCCATCGATCGCACTGCAATCCCTGACATCCCGTTGAGCGATGAACCCACAAACTCTGGCGCTGCACCGCCCGATCTCGCTGCGGAGGCCGACACTGCAATGACCGAGGGCACTGCAGACACTGACCTCATGCCCACGGAGAGTGTGAATTATGCTCCCACTCCAGATATTTTTGAGAAGAATGGTGTCTCCAGTCCAGAGCAAGTAAGCAGCCTGTGCCCAAGGCTCAAGCCACTCCAGGGGCTTGTGTCCCCTCAAGCCAACTCCCCTGGGCCCTCTCAACCTTTGAGGCCAGCACAGTGTGGTGGGAAGGGAAGCACTTGTCAGGGAAGCTGGGCAAGTTGGCAGCTTTTCCCCCACGCCTCCTCCAGGTGCCAGCCTTCGTCAGGAACGTGCACCAGAGACTGACAGCCAGCGCCACTCCAGAAGAGAAGCTGCTGGCGGAGTTTCTGAGGGTGACTGATGAACACCCTGCTGATGCTGTGGTGACCCTCCTGCGCTGTGCCCCATCATGTGACAGGTACAGGGCCTCCCTGCCTTCGGGACTCGGGGCTCACCAGCCTTTAGAGCAAATCACCCTGTCCATCCTGTCCCACATGGTCTGCCAGAGGGATGGAGAGTTCCAGGACCATCTGGCCCCTCTGTTGCCCAGCCCTGCCATGTCAGCACCCATCCTGCTGCCATGGTCCCTCCCTGCTCCTCAAGGCACTTTGGCCAGTGCCCCCCTGACACAGAACTCTGACCCCACAGAGCTGCTGCCATCATGTGGAGGACCATCACCTCACCGGGAAGGACAGTGGTGAAGGTGCTGCCACAGCTGCTCTCCGTGATGGAGGAGTGGCCACTGCACAGCACGTCCACCTCCGACGGGGACGAAACGGATGTCTTTGCCCTGGCTGTGAGTTCATGGGAAGGGCTTTTGCTCACCCCCAGGTCACCTCTCCGGTGGCTCTCCATCCTCCCCCAGCACTGCATCTCCCTGCCTCAGGC